CTTCTGGACTCCTCCAGAGATTTTGACATTGTGACCACCCTCTTTTCTTTTTCTTTTTTTGCTAGGCAATGGGGTTAAGTGACTTGCCCAAGGTCACACAGCTAGTAAGTGTTGTGTCTGAGGCCAGATTTGAACTCAGGTCCTCCTGACCCCAGAGCCAGTGCTCTATCCACTGTGCCACCTAGCTGCCCTCCCCCCCTCTTTTCTTAGGTACTCTTTTTTCTTTTTATTTCCACATCATTTTCACCTGTTGGGTCTTTTCCTGTCTGTTTCTTCTTTAATAACGTGACATTTATATAATGCTTTAAGTTTTGCGGAAACATCGTGTATCTCCCACCCCTTGAAGGCTCCTTTCTGGGCCATTTTTCTCTTTGTCTATAGTCTCCCCTTTGGCGATCTCTTCTATCCATTAATTTCTACACGGAAGACTCTCAAATCTATATCTATCTATCTATCTATCTATCTATCTATCTATCTATAGTCTTTAGTCTATTCTGAACGCTAGGTCCCACATAGCTATCTGTCTGATGGTCATCTGTCATCTCTGCCTGGATGCAACTCAAACATGATATGTCGCAAATAGGATTAATCATTTTTATTCTCTGCTCCCTTCTTCCGCAATGTCTGATCTACCCTTCCTCCAAATGTCTTTATTTTAGTAGAGGGCACCACCATCTTCTTAGTTAACAAGATTCATGACTTTGGGGCCAAACTTGGTTCTTTTCTTTCCTTTATCCCCCAAATCTAATCAATTGCTCAGTTTTGTCAATTTTACCACCATACTCTCTTGCACCTTTCTCTCTATTCACACAGCCACAATCCCAATCACTTTTCACCTGAGCCTTTATCTCTTTCAACTAGAATTTTATAAAATCTTGACACCTTTTCAGTCTCTCCCTTTTAAAATCTATTCTTCATATAGCCACTAAAGAAATCTTAAGGCATAAATTTGTGTCACTTCCCTCCTAAAACAACAACAAAAAAACCTACAGAGGCTCCTACCCATAGGATAAAATCCAAAGTACTCAGACTGGCATGTCAGGTCTCCCATAATTTGACTCTAATCTTCCTCATAACACTACCCCTTTCAAAGACACTGGGTTCCAGTCAAACTAGATTACTGGCAACACTGACATTATGGCTAGAATTCATTTCCTTGTCAGGGCTTCTCAGAATCCTTATTTTCCTTTGAGCTTGGCAGGACCATGTGCCAAATGAAGTCTTCCTGGATTGCATCTCTCAATTACTGTTCTCTTCCTCCTCAAATTATCTTGTACAGTATCTACTTATCTGTATACATGTTCTATTTACACGGTAGAATGTAATTATATTGTTTGAGGGGGAGAACTATTTCTTTGTCCCTATATCCTCAATATCTCAAAAGATGCCTTGTGTAAATTAGGTGCTTAGTGTTTGTTGAAGATATGAAGTCTCCTTCCTACATCTGACACTGGCCTGTTGCTTGGCATTCAAGATTCTCCATCACGTGGCCTCATGACCAACTTTATTTTCCACAATTCCACACATCCTATCATTCAATTAAACCAGATTGTTTCCTATTTAATGAATAGGCTCTGGTATTTCTCACCCCCATGCCTCTTCCCCCCATTCTGTGTCTGTCCAATTCCTGACCCTCTTTCCAAGCTCAGATCAAATGCCATCTTTCATAAAACTTTCCATTTTACTACCAATAAGCCACTCCTTCTTCCTCTGAACATACTACTTTGTACATTTAACTTTTTACAGCATATGTTATATTCTACTTACAAGTCTTATCTTTTCTAGTAACTTGTATTCTTGTTAGATGTCTTATCTCTTTTGTTAAACTGTTGGAATTCTTTAAGACATTGTCCCATATTTCTTTGTATCCTTTTTAATACCTTTCATTGACTTTTATATAGTAATGATCCAAAAATATGTTAAATGGACTTTTAAGAAAAAAAATCTTATTTAGATACTTGTGATTCAAACAAGCCCTTGTAATGTACTACCATGTTTCAGAGACAATTTTAAATGGGTCATGTAGTCATCAAGGGCCTGACCCAAATGTCCCCAAGATCCAGACATCTGAACGTGTGAGAGTCAGAGAGATGAGATTTTCCTTCATTTTTAATGGGGTAAATACTCTATTTAAAGAAAAATCAAGTATGAAGTTGAACTTCATAATAGTTAATAAGGCATCTTCCTGTTTTATTAGAAAGGCAGCTATGAGCTGCAGTGAATAGAGAGCTGGGCCTGCAGTCAGGAAGACCTGAGTTCAAATCCTCCTGGGGATACTGTGAGGATCAAATGAGATAACCATTGTAAAGGGCTTAGTACAGTGCTGGCTCTTGCTGTTGTTGAGTTGTTTTCCTTGTGTCTGGCTCTTTGTGATCCCATTTGAAATTTTCTTGGCAAAGAAACTGGAGTGGTTTGCCATTTCATTCTCCAGCTCATTTAATAAATGCTTGTTCCCTTCTCTCCTCCATCTCTTTATCATTCAAAAACAACTGGGAACAATGGAAGAATAAAATTGGGTGGATGTTATGTTCCTCAGGGATATGAAGAAATGAAAGCCCTCTGGGGATCTAGACTGCTCTGGAAGATGTACGGTCACGTACCTTTCTCACACCTGATCAGATCTGGTCATGCTCATGTGAAGGGCTAAATCTGCTCCAAAAGGTTCACTAAGTAAAAAGCAAGTGCATAGTTATGTTTCATTCTTAGGTTTTGGTCCAACAAATGTCTCACATCATCACTGATGTAATCCTGGTCTGAGGTTTGGGCGTTTTTTAGAGTTGGTGAGTAGTAAAGCCACTTGGGATGTTGGCTTGGGTGGAAGTAAAGGTGGAAGAATGCTTAGGCAAGGATGACGAATACCACTACTTTGCCATTTCTGACAAGAGAAATTCAATAAGTGGGCTAACAAATATGCAATTTACCAATCCAACCAAACAAACACAAAAATACAAGAGGGTAGCTGAAATTGTTTAATTTTTTTTATATAAAAAGACAATAAATTACATTTGAGAACTCTGGGTTGTAATGTTCTTACAATGCTAGTTCACAATGTATGATTACATATTATATTATCTGCAATCAGCAGATAACCATAAAGTAGGTAACAGTTGGGGCAGAAGGGTATGTGTGTATGTGTGTATGTATGTATGTATGTATGTATGTATGTATGTATGTATGTATGTGTGTATATGTGTGCAAGGATTAGTTTTTGCTCTAGCATGAAAGTAGTATAACAACAGATTGTGCATGTATCATTCAGACTTGGAAATAAATTTCGATACCTGAACTGAGGTAAAACTGATTAAAAAAAATAAAAAAAGAATGACAAGATCATGAAAAGTTAAGTTTGGATTTGAAGAGTGTAAACAAGGACAGTGCTTTTAAAAAAAAATCCAGCCTCTGTATTATCTGCTCTTATAAATAAGCTCAGAGTAATAAGTTAATGGGGCTTTTAAAACAAAGACTTTTAAATAAATTAAAGTTTTTGCAAAACTAAACAGCTGGGACTTTTAAAAAATGTAATAGCCGCTCTATTACTAATTATTATTTTCCCATAATAAGAAATTATGCTTTTTGCCCAGGAATCACATCAGTGGGTAAAAGCAAGAGGTATTCAAATGTAAAGAGTATAACAAAGTTGATAAAGATGCAGATGGTTCTCAAAAAACTTGTCTCTCAGTAAGTATTAAATGAAATCAGTTCCATTTAAGTTTCACGTATGTGTTCCAATTTGAGGCCAATTATCTAAGTTTTTGGACTGTTCTAAAAGAAAGACTGAAAATTTCAGACTCTATTTATGTCAGAGTCTCTATAGTTTTTATGAATTCCGAGGTTAAGACCTGGTTCAACCTCCCTCTACACCAAATCTCCTCCATGAAGCCTTCCCTGAGCATCCACAGCAATGGCTGGCTTCCTTCTTGCAATTCCTTCAGCACTGTGCCCTTAAGTCACTTATTAAACCTTATAAGCTATTACAGATATTTGTGTGTCTTATCCTGCCCCTTACACATGAGCTACTTGAGGCTGAACAACATCTTATTCATAGCTGGATCTCCTACAGTACCCAGTATAGCACCTTGCTCTCAATAAATACTTATTAATCAATATATAATGGATAATTGGTTTTCCAGTCATAGTCTAAATAGAAACAATAGAAAGGTTTATTGACACCTTAGTTACCATTAAATTTTTCAAAGCTGTATTTGTAAAATAAACTTGATGCAAGTAAACTGTAAAATTCCCTTTACCGTGAATAGTACTTTCATTTTTATATGTAACTTTACTCTTTACTCCTAGGTAATTTCTATGATAATCAGAGCTGCTTCTTCCAGCCATTAAACTCAATGACATCTGCCTTAGCCTATCTCTATAAAGCATTTATAGCCTTTTCCAAAGGCCTTCCAAAGAAGAAGGGTGACAAGTGTGATGGCTTCATTGAACATCTTGATGCCATGCTAAAAGCTGCAGTTACTGGACTTATATTAGTTAGTTCCCTTCTGTTAGAAGAGAAACTAAAAAACCTAAAGTAGGTAATAGGTCATGAAAGGAAGAGGCTAAAAATGGAAATCTAAGCAGAGGAAGGGCAGATTATAAATTAATCAGAACAAGGTAACATGCTAGAATGTTACTGTGCAAGGAAAAAAATAAAAGAAGCCACTCCATGTGGATAAAATACCAGGGCAAAGGAACAAGATTTGTAAAACAGGAAAAACAAAATGACTCTCAGGAATGTGACTGACAAACAAATCATTCAACCCTGGCTTAGCATGGAACCCTGATGCTCCAAGCCTCCAAGTTCTTCTTGGGAAGACACCAAGTAGGGTTGAAGTGGTCTCTGATGGCCTTCACCAGCAATCATTATTTTCACTAATGTGCTGTATGTAGTAAAGTACCTTAAATTGCTCTCCCATGGACTGCAAAACATTAAAAGACATTTCTTTTTTTTTTCTTTTTTTTGGTTAGGCAATGGGGTTAAGTGACTTGCCCAGTGTCACACAGCTGGTAAGTGTTATGTGTCTGAGGCTGAATTTGAACTAAGATCCTCCTGAATCCAGGGCCAGTGTTCTATCCACTGCGCTCAAAGACATTTCTAAAAGAGACTAAATCTCACCCCAAAAGATTTGATGGACAAGAATTAACAACTAGAAGTTGGGGACAATTACGGATAATTCTCTTAATAGGAACTTTTCAGGGTCCCCATAGCCAAATTATCACTCCTATGCTTAATAACCAACCTCAAACTAAGATTCAAGGACACTCAAGCACTGAGTAGCAACTCTGATCATTTAAAAAGGTGCTGTTCTGTGACAGGTTCATGTACAAGAATCTAGGGACTTAAGGATGCCTAAGTCTGCAGAACAGCAAGGTTTCACAGAGTATCAAATAGTATAAAGCTTAATAAAACTATTTCGCTTGGGAAAGCAAATACTTTCTTTTACCTGGTTTTTGACAATTTTGGAAGAGATAACTAGAATTGAGTGAGTAAAATATGTTGAGGAGGTAAGAAGACAAACCTTGTTTTCTTTCTGCCTCTGCCCTCTTGACAGACACACACAAATGCCTGTCAATGGGTCCCTTCTTCCCTTATTTTCAAATATCCTAGAAGACATTCAAAATTCTATCAACTACAATTAATATTTACAACTCAGTTTACACCGAGCTGTTACATAAGCTCAAAATATCGTGAAATAGGAGCAAACAACTGAGGCTTTCACATAAAGAACTGAGCTACCAGGTTTGCAAGGCCCACCATGATGATGAAGGCATGGACTAACAGTGTGGGCCACGTCAGGCGCTCCTCATTATACAGGGATATTATGTGGATGAGAGACGGATATATGAACACAAAGGCCAGGCCACATGCTGCTCCTGAGTATCTGCAAAATACAAAGCTCATTGTGTTAATGTTCTTCTTGAGTTTTTCTGCTTTACAAATAAAACAGAGTATGATTTCAATCTGCCTCAATCTGAAAAGGCAAGGAAATCATGACTGTTGAGAAAAGGCACTAGGGTTTAAAACTTTTAAAATTCCCCATCAAAGTTAATATAAAACATTATTTCCTGTTCATCTTTATCTGTTCAGGAACATCCGCTTGATAAAGAGTTTTTATTTTTCCCCAAAACATCCAGCTGTCACTGACTGTAGCCACATCCCCAGATACATCTGGAGATAGGCTTCCCAGCTTTGATCTTATACAAATTAATTATGCATTCTGGGATTTCAAGGGTCTGCTGGCATCAGTTGAAAAATGAAGATGGACGTGAAATGCCTCAGTAGTGTTCATTGTAAATATTAAAGACTGTAACAAAAAAGGAACCCACAATTACCCTCTTCCTCCCCAACAACTCAAGTTCTCCTGAATAAAGGTTTAATGGGTCCTATAAGTCCTTTCCATGCAACAAGCAACAGGGATTTATTTGTAAGGACACTCCCATTTCCTAAATACTCTTATTCTCCCCTGGCTAAAGAGGATTCAAGAAACAACTTTCTTGGGCAAGGACTTAAGGTAGAGATTTGATCTGGGGGGGGAGGGGTAGAACGAGAAAGAAAGAGAGGAAAGGAGACAGAGAGAGATAGAGGAGAAGAGAGAGAGATCTTTATATATCTCTATTTAAAGGAATATCTTTAGCACAACTTTCAGTGATGTACGGGATGTACAACTCTAACAATTCTTATTCTATTTACTCAATCTACCATAAATTTTTTTTGGAAAAGATAATAAGGAAGGGACTTTTCCATTTCTTTTGCATTATGTTTATCTATCTCCTATACTAGAGAAAAGTATACTGCAGGGCAAGAATCAAGTCTTCAGTATAACCTCCAATAATGCTCAACACAAGCATATATTTGGTTAAGTATCTTCTGACAAACCTTGGACTGTGAAATCATAGACATAGGTTGTAAGACTAACTGCCTTTTATCCCAGAACCCCTCTTCTCCCGATGACGAGGGCAGCTTGGTAGGGCACAAAGGAGGCAAGCAGAATGAATAATGTCTTTGATGGGGGAAAAGACTTCATGAAGGATATGAAACTACAGGGAACAGTGATCTATTTCTTTTATCCCTTCAAGTACTAGGAGCAGGTATATTGTCATCAGGGCATGAGGAAAAGGTAGGAGAGAAAGAAAGATGGGAATAAAAAATGGAAGTGGGCAAGGTGGCACACACCTGTAACCCCAGCCACCCAGGAGCCTGAGCCTGGAGGTTCTCTTGGACTGCTGAGCTAGCTGGGAGTGTGCACTAAGTTCAGCATTAATATGGTAAGCTCCCAGACTGGAGGAGCCACGAAGCTGTCTGAGGAAGGGTAAAACCAGCTCAGGTCAGAAACAAAGAAGTCAAAGCTCCCATGTTTATCAGAGTGGGATGGGGTTCATAAGCAGCCCTTGCATTTCTAGTCTGTGTGACATAGGAAGATCCAGTCTTTAAGACACTGGATCAGAGATGTTAAAAAACAACACCGAGTTCCAGGCAAATAAGGATCTGCTTAGAGTACGACACAAATGGGGATACAAAATGAGAAATTTTTACATTTTTAAAAAATATGTTTAAGGTTGGAAAGTTCTGCTCTTCCAGACACATAGGTATGTATTTTGTGATAAGTTGACCTGTAGGGTGACAATGAAGTAACACAGAAGGGATGCCATTTTCTTTTATCTTTTTCTTCTAAAAACAATTGTTTTTATGAACTCAGCAAACACCAAAAATTATGAACATTCTCTTATACAAGAACAGAAAAAGAAGACTGCATATGAAACTGTGAACCTAATTTATGTGCAACTTTTAAAAAAGTTTATGTAGCAGCTGTGTCATAATGTGGTAAACAGGTTTCTTCAGCCACTCTTATTTGCTCCCCACCCTACTCCTGACTCATTACTTAGGTGGGTTTCCCAGTGTAAATGTTCCCTCTCTGCTTTGGGGAGCTAATAAAATGATCTAAAATTCTCCCCAATTTTATCTCTGAGTCCCCAGCTGGAGAATAATGCTCTGGCAAAACATCTCAGTGCTAAATTTCTCTCTCTTTTCTCCAAGGATGGTTTCACATCAATCGACTCCTCCCCACTGCAATACTAATAAATAAATGCCTGTGGTTAACTTCATAAAGACAAAGGAAATGTTTAAAACATGGAAAAGTAAACAGATTTGCCCAGAGCCCAGCGTGAAAAAGAGCTTCATAATCACAAGAGTCGTGGGGGAGAGGAGGTATAGATTTGCCACCTGGGGTCACAGTATATGGAGAGTTTTGACATCTAGGGAAAGCAATTTAAAATTCTCCCTTTCTATTGTGAAAATACTCCTGAGACTAACATGTCTGTTTTCCACGAGTGGACACAGAGTAAGCCTGTTTGCCAAAGGGAGCCAATCAGGATCCTGCAGTGAGCCAGAAGTCTTGCTCAGTCCCAGATGCCTTTGCTGGTGTTTGCTGGCTGACTTTGCTGAGCTGTGTACCTCAAACCAGCTTAAACCAGCTTTGTGGTCATCTGTTGCTGCAAAACATCCTGCTTCCATGTGCCACCTCATCCTGAAAAAGACTGTCCACTCTCCATCTTAACTCTTCCCTGAACCTCCCCCTTTGTGGTTTTCAAGCATAAATTGCCCCTGCCTCTCCTGGGCTAGGGGCTCCATTACATGGCTGCCCCGCCATGTATGCCTAATATCTTTCCCTTTTAATAAGTAATTTTGTTCTGACTTAGCCAGAACTCCTCTATATTTGAGGGATGGGTTTTTGCAGCTGACATCATGTATGTAATGCATGTATATATATACATATACATATATATATACATATACATATATACATATACATATATATATATATATACATATACGTATATATATATATATAGAGAGAGAGAGAGAGAGAGGACAGAGAGAGAGAGAGATAGACAGACAGAGATAGATATCTAAGATATATACATACGTTTCTTTAAAACAAGATCTCTACTTTTGGTTTAAAAATGAAAAGTAATAGAAAAATAATAGCAACTTGGGGCAGCTAGGTGCCACAGTGCAGAGAGCACCGGCCCTGAAGTCAGGAGGACCTGAGTTCAAATCCAGCCTCAGACACTTACTAGCTGTGTGACTCTGGGCAAGACACTTAACCCTGATTGCCTCCAAAAAAGAAAAGAAAGGAAGAAAAAGAGAGACAATAATAGCAATTGGATAAGAAGAAGGAGTAATGAGACCTGAGGCAGAAAGAGACTAGGGCCACCCAAGAAGACATCCTGCCTACAAGAATACCACTAATCTCAAACAAACCTGAAATGGGAGTGGATGAACTTCTTGACTTTTCCCAAAAGCTGGCACTTAGCTATAATTAGTTTTAGCATATTTGAAGAAACTATACAAGTAAAATTAGACATAAGAAAGGCTACTTCCTATAAAGAAATGCTAACAGAATAAGGGGTTTGTGATCAATACCTTATGATTCCTCCTATGTTTGGGTAGAAACAGGCCATGCTCACTCCAGCTCCCACGATAATGAGATTAAGAACCAGCACGTGGAAAATACTAGAAGTCAAGAGGTGGTCATGGCAGAAAGAAATAAAACAAAAAGAGAGAAAGAAAAGCCAAATCAGCATTGAACTTTTGAAAAAGAACAGCCTTCATTTGTTGTTTCGCCAAAATGGCAACGGCATGCCTAACGAGCGTACTCACTCATTTAACTTCACCTTTTTGAATGAATCAGTTACTTGGATCAAAAGGGCATCTAGTGACTGCAGTTCTACTAGATTTCAAACCCTTTAAAAGGTCGGGTGTAATGTGACAAATCATCTATCTGCAATATGTGATTGTTAATACTTGATGCTTGAGAAACACACCAAGAAAAATTATTCTCAATAACTGAATTTCCAGATAAAAGCAACCCTTTTAAAGTGAAGAATGATCACAGGCTGATGAAATCCAGTGAGTTATACCAGAGAAAATGAAAAGCATCAGGGGAAGGATAATTTAAAACATGCTTACATAAACAGGTGGTCTGTTACATGATCGAGTAGACTTAAAAACTGTCTAGTCTTCCAGCCCAACTGTCTTGTCTGCTCAGGGACTTAACCTTTCATAGGGATGTGGAACACTCACTCACCAAGGTACTGGCTGAAGCTTTGCTCTTTGCGCTGGACAAAGACACAACAGATGTGTTCTTCAAGGAGGGCCACGTTTTTAAATGACATGCAAATGCCTTGGTGGGGCTGACTGTGTGCTGGCTCATGTGTGTGGGAGCAAGCTGCATGGATGGGAGAGGGACCCAAAGGGGAGCCCCCAAAGCTCGTTCTGGCACTGGCTGGTTTTCAGACAGAGAGCTCTGCACTCAAAGGGCCACCCTTTGGCCCCTACAGAGAGGGAAGAGCACAAAGAACAAAAGAGAACGAGCCAAGGATTTTTTTTTTGGCCCATCACTGAACTGTATTTATTTGATTTCAGCTGACCATAAATAATGCAAAGGGTATAAGACACAACCAGAGCTTTGGATCTGATGTTGTCTCAAATCTCCCAAGGAAAGAGAATTAGTTGCTCTCAACTTTAGGTTTAGCAAATTTATGATAAAACTATTTTAAGCAAGAACTATTTATTTAATAGATAATAAAAACAGCTAGCATTTATACAGAGTGCCAGGCACTGTGCTAAGTATGTTACAATTATTATCTCATTTGAACTTCACATACAACCCTGGGCCCATTTTACAACTGAGGAAACTGAGGCAACCAGGAGTTAAGTGACTTGTCCAGGGTCTGAGTGTCTGAGACTGGATTTGAATTTAGGTCTTCCTGATTCCAGGTTTAACACTTGTCATGTAGCTGTCAAGAAATCTCTATTAATTCACAATTAAAAACTAAGTTAAGGCAGCTGCTAAAATCTGACTATCATAAATGAGACTTAAAAACAAAATGTTTACTTAACTGGATCAAAAACCACTTTTCTCCTCAAATATATCAAAGCTAATTAAGACTCCCCCCCCCCAATATGAACATGTAATGAAACTTCAAGAGCTTCAAAGGCTGGTAGACATTTTATCACTTCTTTCAAAATCTGCTCTCACACTGCTCAAATACATAAATAACTAGTAACAACTGAAATTAAAACATGAGTGTGCTTCTCACAAGCTCCATGTTATAAAAGCATAAGGTGCTGTACACACACATACACACACACAATTTCCTGTCATATCCTGAAGAGATTAACAGTATTTCCATCATGGAATGAGGCAGGGTCCTGTGACTTTGGGCTTGGAGGCTTGCCTCCCCTCAGTGCCCTGTGGACAAGGGCGAGTCATGTGATTTTTCAGTCCTCCAGGCAACTCTCCAAGACTGTAGGTCACAGATAAGAGTTTTTTCCCTAAGGAATTTCCAATACCTGTAAAATCACATGTTTGTCCTCCTTCCCCAAACAAATCATAAGGTAATCCAATCAATATCAGAAGTCACTTAGCTCAGCTTCCTGCCTCTGGAGTGTCCTTAAATCATTCTAGATAATTGGAGTATGACTTTGGGCAAATTACCTAATATCTCTCTTGGCCTCAGTTTCTTCACCTATTAAATGAAGGTGTCAGGCTAGATGACTTTGAAGGTCCCTTCTAGCTTGAAATCTATGATTCTTAGCTGTCTTCCCTATTTAAAGATACCCAGGGAAGAGTCTAAAAACCTGTCCTGAGTAACCAATATAGAACTGAAGATTTTTATAGTTTAAAATACTCTCTATTTTGGGATGGCAAATTTAATAGATAACCTGACACTCTAGAAATCCTATTGGCATAGAAAAAAGGCCTTACCTAGGGTAAGCATTACCGAAGATATATCCCAACAGTTGGACTCGAGCCAAGTAGCCCAGGAGTGGGTACACGGTCATCATTTGGAACAGCAGAAATATCCTTCCAATGAATGACAAGATGTCATTGCTTGGGAAGTTGTCTAAAAAATTCTAATCCAAGAACATCAGTGAGAAAATGTCAAAACAATTCTTGACAAATAAATTCTACACACAATACATAAAAAGGTAAGACTTGTTGTTTAGTGTAAGTACTCAGAGAAGTAAAGGCATATTCGGCTTCTGTCTACCTGAAATGACTATTTTAGTCAATACTCACTCATTCACAGTAACCCCACGGAGAAGAGCAGTGATTTTGCCATTCCCTCTACAGAGGCTTTTGTCTCAGCAATATATCAGTACTATCACCAAATGGAAAGGTATAATTTTCTTACTTCCTGTTTCCATTCTTGCCTCCCCAAAATGGCTTAATATTTGGAAAATCTGTCACATAGAATTGTTCTTCATTCCTTTCTCTGAAATATAGATGCCATACACATGCCAGCTGGGAGAACTAGATACAGATTGTATAATGGGGACAGTTTGCTCATCAGAAATGAAAAATTCCCAGTAGATTTTCTGTATCTAAGAAAGAGATTCTGTAGCCAAAGAAGAGAAGGAAACTACCAAAGCTGCTATCAGAATAGTAGTTTAATCCCCTCCCCACCGCGCAGACTGAACCCATGATTTCATTGGCACAGGGAAGCCCCAGTGAAAAAACTCCCTTTACCAATTCAGACCTGTGATTACTGTCAATTTACAGCCTAGAAAGTTGTCTGGGACACCGAGAGGTTAACTAACTCATTATCCCTGGTCACACAGCCAGGCTGGGTCAGACATTGGACTATAGCTCCTACATTTGACTACTAACTATATTTTCTCTCCACAAAGCAAATAAGTTATCAATTTTGTTATAATCCTCACTTGTTGATCCCCTGGAGATGGGCTTCCATCTCCATCACGCTACTAAAACCACTTTCTCCAGTGATCCAATTGCCAAATCCTCCTTGCCACCAAATTTCTCAATCCTCACCCTCCTTTATTTTTCTCAAGTATTTGACATCTCTTACTGTCCCTTCAAATTCAATGAAATAGTTATTAAATACTTCCTGAGAGCAAGGTACAACGTGAGACATTTGGGACACAAAGATAAAGAATGGCATGGTCTTTGCCTCCAAGGAACTCCCGTACTGTTGGGAAGCAGGGATAAGCCATGGATGACAGCCAAGTATAATTTCTTTCTTTCTTTCTTTTTTTATTGCTTAGGCAATGGGGTTAAGTGACTTGCCTAAGGTCACAGAGCTAGCAAGTGTTACCCGTCTGAGGCCACATTTGAACTCAGGCACTCCCGAATCCAGGGGTGGTGCTCAATCCACTGCCCCACCTAGCTGCCCAGCCAAGTATAACTTCAAGGCAGATTGTGATAGGAGAAAAAGAGGAGATCCCGGGGAAGTTATACACGGAAATCTCTCAAAGAGGAAGAAAAGGTTTTAAGAAAGGAGAATTCTCCCATTAATACTCTCCCCTCCCTTGCCTTCTATGCTCTCTCCTAGTTCTCTTCTTGTCGAACATATCTTTTCCAGCCTCTTTTCATGATTTACCTTCTTTCTACTGCTCTCTAAGCATGGAAGTCCCTCAAGAGTCTATCCTAAGCCTATTCTTCTTTTGCTTGGCAATCAGAGGATCACAGATTTAAAGCTGCAAAGGGAGCTGGTGAGATAACCAAATGAAATACTATGGGGGGGTGGGGATGGGGGTGGGTGTCAGCAAACATTTTCCTGTACAGGGCCGGAAAGTAAATATATTCGGCTTTGTGAATGATGAGGCAAAATCGAGTATTATGCAGGTACTTACACAAGACAGAAAACAAATTTCTGCCAAAATTCAAAACAATAATAATAATATAAGATTTTCTGTAATACATGTCTACTAATGAGAAGAAAGGAATTCTTTCGGGGGGATAACATTTTGTTTCATTGGGATTCAAAGTTTGTGTTCTCTATCATCAAAACTGATTGCACGTTTCTATCTGTTCATGCTGATTGTATTTGAAAATGTCTTTCACAGATAGAGGTAAAGGTTATTATTATCCTTATTTTTACAGATGAACACATTGAGGCAAACAGGTTAAGTGACTTGCCCAAGGTCACATAGCTATAGTCTTGAGGTCAAATTGGAACTCTGGTCTTCCTGACTCCAGGCCTATAGCTGTGCCAACAAGATGCTTCTGGTTTTTAAAATACAAGGATAGGATATAAACTCAGCCTGGCATTAAAGGTTTTTTAAAAACTGAACTGTTACTGTTCCTTTTCACATTATGCCCCTTAGTGAGTCACACACTGCGACCCAAATGGACTGTTAGCCATTTCCCTTCCTGAAACCTGAATTCTCTCATGTTCCATGCAGGTATACTCCCAACTTGGAATGCACATCTACATTCCTGCCTGCTGAAATTCTTTTCCTCCAAAGCCCAGGTCAGATTTCATCCCTTCTCTGAAGCCTTTCTATACCACCTTCTCTTCTCCAACACCAGGCCCAAACTAAAAGTGATTTCTTCTTCCTCACATTTTCTTAGAGCACTTTGAACAGATCTTTTCACGTTCTTCCTTGAATCAAATACTGTAATTTGTGACCATACTGTATAACCCTTAATTTCCTTCAAGGCCAAGACTGGTGACCAAACACGGTATCTCCTACACAGAAGAGACTTAAAAGCATCTGTTAAATTGGAGAAATCATAACTTTCTGGAATTCTTTTATAACAAATCACCAGTGGATTTTACCACATACCAACAGAGGATCCCTTTCCGAAATTTAATGGGACATCATTTGTGAAATTCAATTTGCCCCCAAACAACTTCCAATTCATTTAAATGTGCAAGAGACAAAATAATTCTCAGGACACTTTATACAACAACAGACATTTTAAAAACATTTTAAAGTTTATGAAATGCTTTCCTTATGGGTATTATAATTCCCACTTTGCAGATGAAGAAACTAAGGCTGAGAGGTAAAATCACTTGCTCATGGCCACATATCTAGTGTCAGAGCTGGGATTTTAACCCAGGTTTCCTGACTCAAAATCTAGCACTCACTTTACTACACTATACTTCCTCTCAAGAGAATTATGAAGCATATTAAAAGCTCCTTTTTAGTTCAACTGAAAATATTATGCATCTCCAGCCTAACATCCTTTCCAGATTTAGCTGAAGGAAGGAGACTTTATCAGTGCTTTAGTCAAGTTTCTCAGGAAACAATGTCCTTGGCTAAAATTATTTTCTACTAAAATCTCCTTATGCTGACCCCTGCTGCTTTTTTTTTTTTAAAAGAAAGTGTGTAAAAGATCAAGGAGGAAAGCTGAGCCCTCAGAAATTAGATTAAGGGTGGTAAACAGTTTTAGAAGAAAATACCTCAATTCTAGTTAAGATCTTTGACTTCTTCCCCAGCAGGGATAAAGGAATTGATCAGAGGGAAAAGGTCTTTTGTGACCAGCTTTGGGGGTAAGCAGGGGTCAGGAAGAGAGCTCTTGAAGGAAATGGTCTTAAAGGGATTGTATGATTTTAAGGAAATGATTTTCCAAGGTTAAGTGACTATTGTTTTGGATTAATTGATGAAGCGAAATATTAACTTATACCTAACCCTGAGCTGTATAACTACATTTTCCATATTTGAAATTTTCCTTGTTCAAGATTACTACAGTTAGTAACAAACATTTATTGAGCACTTACTATGTGCCAAGCAGTGGCAGCTAGGTGCCAGGCCTGGAGTTAGGAAGACTCATCTTCCTGAGTTCAAATCTGGCCTCAGACACTTATGAGCTGTGTGACCTGGGCAAGTTACTTAACCCTGTTTGCCTCAATTTCCTTATCTGCAAAAGAAACTGGAGAAGGAAATGGTAAACCACTCTAGCATTTTTGCCAAGAAAACCCCAAATGGGGTCATGAAGAGTCAGACACGACTAAAAACGACTGGGAAAATTGGGACATCCTTGATAGTAACAGAATAGCTGGGTAGAGGGAGGGTTTGGAAGGAAAACTAATGAGTTAGTTTGGACATACTGAGTCTGAGATGTCTTTAGGACATCCAGTTAGAGATGTCCAATAGGCGATTGTTGACACAAAGATGTACGTCAGGAGAGAGATTAGGGTTGGATAGTTATCTGCAGAGAGGTAACTGAAATGGGATAGTATAGAACAGGGGTCAGCAAACTTTTTCCTATAAAGGGTGAGATGGTAATTATCTTAGGCTTTGTATGTTTATGCAGATACTCATATAACAAGAGAAAAACAAATTTCCACCAATTTTTCTTGCCAAAATTAAAAACATAACAATAAGAATAATAATAACAACACATAATTTTCTGTAATACAGTTCTACTAATGAGAAGAAAGGAATTCTTTTTGGGGGAAAGCTAACATTTTGTTTCATTGGGATTCAAAATTAGTGTTCTCTAGCATTAAAATTGATTACACATGTTCATCTGTTAATGCTTATCATATTTCATACTTGAAAATGTCTGTCACAGTAGATATTAAATATGAAATCACAAGCATATGATTTTTTAAAAAATAAGTTTTTATTGATGATTTTCATTTTTTACATCATCATAGTTTTCCCTTGTATTTCTCCCCCTCCTAGAAAGTGATCGCTCACAACAAAAAGTATTTTTAAAAGAAAAAAGAAAAGAAAAAACAGAGGAAAAAATCAGCACAACCAATTAGTACATTGAAAAAGTTAAAGAACATGAGTAGTGTGCAACATTTGTGAACCTCTCACCTCTGTGAATCAGGGGTAGGTTAAGGATGTTCTCTAATATTTCTTCATTTGAGTCAGAGCATATACTTTTAATTAAGCCAAAAGCATAATAGTCTTAAACAAGTCTACCTACTCTGCACACATTTCTTAGGTTGCTGTAATCAAGCACGATTTAATTATCTCACCATTGGTAAATGGCTTTCCTTGCCTGGCTAACGAGTCACTCAGAAACTACTTTGGTTGCAACAACTTCTTTTTCGATTTTTATTTTTGTCAAATTCTGCTGTGATGAAATATCCTCTTTAAAATTCTGTAGTTTTTCTGACTTGCTGTTCTGTGAGCTGGGAATACTGTGATGA